CCCCCCCAGCACCCAGCTTTTCCAACCCAACCCTCTGTGCCAGATTTACATCCCTCGTGGCTGCAGCTCCTCCTTCCCCCCCCTCTCCGCCTTCCCACACACCATCCCAGATTCTGCCCTCATCAAGCGATGATGCAGCCTTTCTGAGCATCTGCTGCTCACATGCCATTTATCTGTTGCCACCCCGGATTTCGACAGAGGCTGTTAGACAAGCAGCTACCGTAGGTGCCCACATTTGCCACACTCCGATATGTCAGAAGCGCACTGAGGGCAGAGCGGTTCTGCAGGGGATCCAGGATCCTTAAGGGCGGTGCTTTTTGTTGGGTAATCAGTAAAAACGAGTTTTAGCCTCCGCGGCCGTTTTGTTCCGTCCTGTCGCTCAGGGCACTTGGGGACGGTTGCAGCCGCTTTCCATTTCCCCCTTCCCTTTCCGCATTTCATGGTGTTATACAACCCTTATCAGCGTGGGGCGGGCGAGCTTGGTCTACTGAAACAAGTCAGAATCGATAGTGTAAATCCAGCTCACGTGTGTGGCTGTGGGTGGGTGCGTGCCAGAGACAGCTTGTAGTTAGAGACTGGATCTCTTCTTTGCGGTGGCAACCGAGACCTCGTGGGAAGTCCTGCTCCCATTCTGGCACTTTTCAGCCTTCCACGGGGCAGAAAAGTATTCCTGGGGCAAAATTCCCCTGCAGGTCTTTTGATGCTGCCCAAACCCGAGGAGCAGCAGCGTGTCCCCCCCCCTTCCCTGATCCCCCCATGACCGAACAAGTCAGGCAAAGCACGGCTGCCGGGAGCGGCGGCAGGAGAAGGGCTTTGTCCTTGCTCCTGGCACGCGTGCTGACCCCTGCCCAAAGCCGGGAACGAGCTCAGTGCTTGGTTGTGTTTTCTCAGCCCCAGCAGAAACACGGCCCCTCCCTCCACCTCTCACTGCCGCTATCGGTCCTGACTGCGGTCAGTGGACGTTTATAGATTTCAAACGACACAATCCGGGCTCCTACGCAGCTCGGTGTGGCCAGCAGCGAGGGCCAGCCGGTGGCCGGTGCCTTTCTCGGGCTGGGGAGCAAAAGCTTACCGTGTTTCCAGGCTGTCTGGAGTGGGCGAGGGTAAATTTACTGTGGTTCTTCTTACTTCTGCTTTTGGACTTCCTGAGCTCTTCGCATTTCTCATAATCGCTCAGGTCAAACATTTCCTGTATGTTTTTTTCATCTTTTACCTGCAAAACAAAAATAAAACGGCCCGCCTTGCAGATGTCAGCGAGGCGGTAACGGAGCTGCCGCTGCTGCAAGCCCGCGGGTGCCTGCCTGGAGCCGTGTCTGCACGCGGGGGGGGGAGCGTCTGGACGTACAGAATTTGTTGCTGCAGCCTCCCGGTGTGTTCTGCGGTCACGGAAACCTTGAGCAAGTGGCTCCCACCTTGGGACACAGCCGCAGTCACGGCACTGTTAGCCGGGGAGTGCAGCGCTGGGTTTTGGGGCGAGAAGCGGCGATTTTCAACGCGGTGGTTTTGATTTGTGTCTGTTCTGGAATGAGGGGGTTGTATTTCCCGGGGTAACTCGAAAAATCGCAGTCTCCGCGGTTAAGTCCTCTTTGCTACAGATTCCTTTGGGATTTAACCGCCTCTCCCACCCCCAAAGTTACTGGGGCTCGGCTGAAGTGACTCGCGGGTGCGATCAGACGCAGAGCTTGTGCTTGTGGACCCCCAAAACGAACAGGATTTACCCCAGCAGCAGGGAGAGGACCCTGCCTGCCCGGAGGAGGCTGGTGCGGAGGCAGGAGATGCTGGGAGGAGGTGGACTCTCACCAGCTGATTAAAAGGGGCAATCACATTAGCGCTCGTTGCTTTTCTGGAGACAGCATATACAAAAGTTTGAGGGATAAAGATTAGCGCTTCCTATTTTTAACCCGGCGGTTTTACCGCAGCCTGTGCTGACAGCTGATTTGGGGGGTGGATGAAGCACATCCAGTCCCAGATTACTGACACGCTGCCTGCGCTGCTCTCCCCCGCGGCCGAGCCTCAGCCCTCGCAAGGGGGCTCCGGGCAGAAGCACCAGATCAAAGGGTTTTGTTTGGGCTTTCTGGGTGAGACCTTGGGCAGGCAGGGGCTTCACGGAAGGTTTCAAGAAGGGAGTGCTCGGGCTCGGCCTCCACGGGCAGAGGCACTTCTCTGTTGTCCTTCTAAGAGTCATCGAGTGGCCACGTCGCAGTTTTTACAAGATTTCCCTTTTTCCAGGTCTGTTCCCCCGCCCTTCCTGCATTGGCCATGGTGTGACGGGCACGCAGCTAGAGATACATGAAAGATATGGCTCATGAAGGCTGTGACTGAGCTGGGGTGGAAACCAGGGTGCTTGACGCTGTCCCGTGACAGACAAAGCCCTGACCTGGAGGTGCCACCGCTCGGGGGATGCTCCAAGCAAAGAAGAGGATGCACAGCCCGTCTTCTGCTGCCCCACCTCAGTTTTGCTTCATTCAGCCCTCCCCAAGGTCACCGACTGCAGAGAGCAGCGACGAGAGACGTCCTCAGGGGCCGGGGCCAGAGGACTGAGCGCGCCCTCGGCACGTTCCCTGCTGGCACCGAGCTGTGGGGGGGGGCTGCAGGGAAGGGACCCCTCCCCAGGTGGGGGGACGTGACACCCTCACGGAGCTCAACAAGGCCAAGGGCACGGTCCTGCCCACGGGTCGGGGCAATCCCCAGCACAAACCCGGGCTGGGCCAGGAGGGGCTGGAGAGCAGCCCCCAGGAGAAGGACTTGGGGGGGCCGGGGGGTGAAAAACTGCCTGTGAGCCACCAACGGGCGCTGGCAGCCCAGAAAGG